TGTAGAACTTGCTTCTTACCAAAGGAACACGAAAGGAATGGGAATTGCTTGCCACCATGACCATGGCATGGCAGGTCCTAGCTTTGAAGGTCTGAGCTGGTGAAACTAAGTAGTGTAACTTGTCCAAACATCTGCCATAGTAATAGCGATAGAGTAGTGAAAGGCTAGTAATGTTTCATTTGTAGAATAAGAGGTTGCAGAGTGGAGAATAATTCATGACCCACAAGGCCATGTAAGCACTTTTAAACTCTGTCAAGGCTGGACAGTGAAGATTGGGCAGCAATTCTTGGTCTGATCTAACTCTTATAAGTCACAGCATGGCAGAAGGAATTAGCAGCATCTTTTGTGATGACATGTATATATGCATTCCATTTGAGGTTGGGAATGGGTTTTAGACTCAGTAGACATTCAAGGCCTGGAGCCTCTTTGAGGCTATAACCATTCATCAGGATTGGTGCAGGTTTAGGCTCTGCTTGGTGGTGATAAAATATTACGAGTTTAGTTTTGGATATATTGAATGATATTAGCCAGTTTTTTACCTATCTAGCTGTTAGAGTTAGATCAGAGGAAAGATCAGATGACAGGCACTGGTCATCAAGATATTTATTGGTGCACTCATACACTGTGGTATCACCTGCATATGTATTTACTAAGTATTTGAGAGTGTTCTTGGGCAGATCATTGATTTAAAGCAGAAAGAGGTTAGGACTAAAGAGAGAGACTTGGAGGATGCCAGCATTGATCTTATGTGCCTCAAAGGACTGTTCATTAACAACAATCAACATGACAAGAAAAATTTGATAACTGTGAGGACTCTCCCAGTGATTCCATAGCCAGTCAGTTTGTGCAGCAAATCCCCTATGCCACATCTTATCAAAGGTCTTCGAGATATCTAGGGTGATCACTCTCGAGAGATTATTATTATCAAGCACTTCACTGATTCCGAGCATGATAACAGTTAAGACATCAGCAGTGGACCTAGAAGAGCAAAAACCATACTGTTTGTCACTCAGAAATTTGTTTTTGTTGAGGTTGTTGTGCCTCTTATGTTTTCTACATAAACTGTATGTTGAGCACTCAACAACCCAAAGCATACCGCATAAATATGTTTTTTGCGCATTAGCTCCATGCATACATTTACTTTAACCAAAGCAAAATTAATAATATATTATGACCAGTGACCAGTTAGAGCCACTCTCACCAAATAAAACAAAACCTTAATTTTGAGCTGACTAAAAACTATATATACCCAAATTCAAACAGACCCAACACAGATCAGTGTTTGATGTCAACACCAAAACGCTGAGTAAGAGATGTGACACAGATCAGTATTTGAAGTCAACACTGACATATTGAGAGAATGAGAGAGAAAGAGAGAGAAATGATGACAACAGCCACCACTAATGTCCATTTTATTTTTAATTTCACCTCTCTCTCCCTGTTACCTTAACAACAGTAATAGATAGAAGTTACCAGTTTTTATATATATGTAAATAAATTATACATTTATTTGCCCCTACTCAATGGCCTCTTTTGTTTGACACTTGGATTTACATTTGCCGAGGTGAAGGAATTAACCTTCACAACAGTAACAACAACAACAACAACAACAACTGGGTTCTGTTTTCCAGGTTACCAATTTCTGCCTCTGCAACAAGATATTTAATGTACACACTAAACACCTTCCATGGGTTTCGGAATCATTTCTTCTTAATAAGTACAGGGATTTTATCCAGGCCAGGAACCTTTGTAGAGCTAAGGCTTTTGATAAATCTGGAAACCTCCTGAGGGATATTACAAAGCTTGTGATCCATGAGATATTCTTTGGTTTTCTAGGACTCTCTTGCAGTAATTATGTGCAGTTCTTAATGGCACAAGGGTTCTGCTAACCCATTCCCTTTGATAAAGAGAATACAGTGGGCCAAGGTCACAGTACATTCAGGCATGAACCAGGGCTGGCTGTTTGCCTTTTGCTGGCATTTCTTGTGAGGGATAAAGCCTTCAATGCTGGAGGGAATTCACTTGGAAATGAAGGAGGCAACTCTGGACAATGTGCCTTTGAAGAGAACTGAGAAATATGGCTTCTGCAATGTAAGATCTGAAGCTTTGTTATGGTGATAGATTGTCCCATGAAACATCACATCTGAGGTGGACTTTGGTTTTGCATCAACCTTAACAAAGATCAAGGAGTGGTCTGAGGAGGCCAAAGGAGGCAACAACTCTGTGGAACATTGATTAGAGCATGAAGTAAAGAAGACCTCTAACTGGTTAGCATGATGCTCAGCTGTATTGAGAATACAAGTAAATTTGTCTACAAACTGGATCAGTTCATAGGCTATGGAGAAATCATATGGTGAATGTTGAAATTGAGCCAAATCCAGGCAAGAACATTTTCACATCTTGAATAAAGACAAGAGTTTACTTGAGCAGCATACTTTCAAATACTGTTATTCAGAAATTAACCAATCGATCAGCTTTACGTGAAAAACATTTGAGCCTGCAACTGACTATCGTGCTTTTCGTCAAAAGGTGCTCCTTGGGCAATTCTGCTTATACATCTTCTTACAGAGATGTAATGTGATACAAAGCATTTTTAGAGTGGGAAAAATTGTGTGGACAGCTCAAAAATATTCTACTTCCACCTTACATATTACAGTAGGCATAAGTGTATGCACACTAACCCTGTCCAGTTAGTGCAGTGGATGATGGTCAGCAAGAACCAATTTTATTTCCCCTTCTTAGTTCTATTGGTGTGAACTATGGTGGATGAGGAAAACACCACAGATGTGAGTGGTAGCAGAAAGAGGAATGGTGAGAATGTCATCATTGCTGTTCTGTCAACCATTGCAATACCATCATCTAGAGGGCAATAAGCAGCAAAGACCCACTAAGAGAAGGAGGGTGTTACAAAGGCTGCTCAAAGATGAGCTGATATCCCCTATGAGGATTGCTGCTGCTGCTGCTGATTGAGTGAGTGATTGATTGTTGCTTCTACTTTCAGAATCCAATCTTTGTGAAGTCTTATCTTTCCAGTATGCACCAAGATATAGGATTAATCTCTTTTGTGCTTGGCAACTATATTTTCTCTATCTGATCAAAATGGCCAGACATTCTTGCATTAAGTGTTTGGCTAGAAATAAATCTAGTTGACAAATAAATGCTGACTGATATTTATTTTGCATTATGTTTTCATAGTTTTATTTTTAATTATAATCTATCTCACTATCTGGCTTATCTCATCATTAGTTTTGTGGTAAGTGGGTTCACATTGGTAGATCACCAGTGTGGATGTAGTGTTGGTGGGATTTCGAATAAAAGCAACTGACTCAAGGGTATAACATAAATAATATATTTTTTTATTTATTTTCTTTAGAGTGATAAGTGAGTCCTTTGGTATTTGGTGTAGAAAAATGTTCATTTATAAGACAGATAATGGTAGCATTTTGGAGAAATGTCCATTAGTGGTAGTTTGAAGTAAGATCATGATAAGGATAGTAGTAATCTTAGAAATAGGTCAGTGTCAATCTACTGTTTTTTTTTTTTTGGTCCTAAGCAGGGCCAAAATATCATTAGCAGATGACCTCTTAACTGCTTCTTCACATGTCACACATGGCTGGTTTCTACATAATAGCATCTCCATTTGTCCTCTCATCATCATTTCTTCTTCTAGCTAAGAAGTTTCAGTTTATATTCATTTTAACCAAACTCTGAGACTCTGGTGTGAACATTGGTTTCAGCTAACATTAAAAGTCTCTTTAAGTCAATTTTTTAGATTGGCCAAAATTATTTTATTTTCTGGCATTCCTTTCTTTTTTATTGTCTCCTAATGGAAGTTATGCATGGAGCTTCCCTGATTTTTGGTATTTTTCAATCACAAGTAAGTAGTATTTGATCCTGCAAACTTCCAGTGTTTTTTGGTAGGTTTCAGTCTTCTTCTTCTTTTTATTTGAGGGTTAGCTTCTTAGCTGAGAGAGAAATATATAGAGATAAGTATATACAGAAAGAAAGAGATAAGGGTTTTAATAGGAAAGTGCAAATGTCTTATTTTAATTTTAATTATTTTTATTTTTGTTTATCTATTTTATTTTTATATTTTATTTTATTTTTATCGGGACTCACTACAGCTTCATTCAAAATAATAAAACAACAAATGGTCCAAAATTGTATTTTAGAGATATTTTGAAAATGAAACACACAGTATTTGCCAATGAAGTTCAACCTAGTATTTAAATTCCACATAAAATTTCAAACATACATGTGACACAATGAATTGACACAAAAACAATGGAACTTTCATTGTTACAATGGCATATGGAATCAATGTTTCTCTTAAAAAGTTTTACGATAATACATTTTCATAATTCCAAAAATTGTGATGAACTTTACTTCATTTGTTTCTTTAAAAACAATTAATTTAAAAAAATGGTTTTTAACCAATTGCCTCTATAGTAATTAAACCAAACTGAAAAAGAAAAAAAATATTGCAATAAAAAAATAACAAAGACAAAAAAGAAATGAGCTGTAATATTTTGAATTGAGAAAATATGCAATTTTCTAAAATAATAAGAGTGTTATTGTTTTAAGTAGTTAATAATTCAGATTTAGAAGAAAAGAATGGAAGTAGGAGACTAGAGAGGAAAGAAAAGCCTGACTACTTTTGTAGTTTGATTGTTGTTCATGAAAAATGAAATACTGAGGTAAAAAAAAAATAATTTCCATCTCAGACAAAAAAATATTTTGTCTAAACAAAGATCAGATTCTAAGGGATAGAAATTTTATTTATTGTTTCTCTTTTCTTTCAATTCTGTGATTTAATTGACACGTCATATTTCACTTTCATTTCTTTCTTTACTTGATGCTCTAATTAATTTAAACCCCTTATCAAATATTGGGGAATTTGTAAGGAAGAGGGTCAAAGAGCATTCTCGCGGGAAAGGACGAGATTGTGAAAGGGACGTAACTCTGATAATTTCTGGTCAGCACGTAAATGGTGACGCCAAATGATTTTAATCGGAGGGAACTGTCGTCTGGTATATCCTCGTTGTCTTTTTGCAATTGGTCAACGACGGATCCGAAATTTTGGGCTAACAGCTATAAGAAAGCTGAGCAGTAGTAAAAGTTGAGTGATTTGTTGTTACTATATTTGAAATTCAGTCATTTTCGCTTTTATTTTTTGCCGCCTGCTTCGATTTTTGTCACTTATCAATTTTTTGGGGGGGTTTCATTTTGACGGAAAAATGTTTGTTTACTTCGGAAAGTAAAAAGAGAAAATATTTGGAAAAACATCTTTTTTTTTTTTTTTGCTTTTATTGGATTTTTTTATAACTTTCTCTTCAATTAACCAATTACAAACATTTTTTTTTGTTTCTTAAAAAAAAAGTTTCCCTGTTGCAACTCGTGCGTGTACGGCAAGCCAAGTACCTACTTTTAAGTTTTATTTAGCAATCTGATTATTAAATTACACAGAGAATTAAAAGTTAATAATAATAATAATAATAATTAGCCTAAAAAAATATTTATTTTGTTTATTTTTGTTTTACTCTTTTTTACTTGAAAACAATCATATTCAACTTTGAAGTAATTGAAATTCCGATTTCGAATGAACGTTTGTAAACTTTTAAAAGAAAAAAGTTGTAAAAAAAGTTTTTGTTGAGTTAATGAAGAACAAATGATTCGGGTTTCAAAACTTTATCTTTAATTAAACTTATTTGATTGAAACTAACTTTTTTTTAATTTATGGCGCACAAAAATTAATTTCGTTTTGTGAATTTTTGAAGTTTAAAAAACTCTTCAGTTAATTTTGTTTTCAGTTTCACAACACAAATAATCAATCAATATCGATTGATTGATTGACAAAACTAAAAAGTAAAAGAACATGATGATGATGGAATTTGGAAAAATACTTTTCTTTTTTTATTTGACCAACTTTCTTATTTTTTTAGCTAATGAAGGAAAGATAGATCATCCAACCTCAAGAATTTCTTGTCATCTTCATTTTTGCCTTTAACTTTAAAAAAAAAAAAAAAATAGCCATCTTTCTGTTATGAAAAAATAACGAAATCTAATGACTTGTAAAAATAAAGAAAGAAAACGTGTCACAATCATTAAGTCAAGAATTCAAGAATTACATTTTATTTTAAACATTAAAGTAATTTTTTCCTCTCCTAAAAAAAACAATTTTTTTTTGATTGATTTTCCGAAACAATGATGCAAGAAGAAGAAATTTCACTTTCATTTTTTAATTTTTTGATGATTCTCTTTTTCTTCTATGTTCGTTTGTTTCTGAATTTTTCACCTCATGTATTTTCGTTTATTTCACCAACATAACATTCGATAAAAAAGAAACAGCAGCTTTTAAAAACACTGAATGTTTGTAGAAGGCCGAAGAATATATCAGCAAAAATAGTGCGTTTAAATAAAAAAAGGCAATAAATCCGGATATTGTAAAAAATGTAAATATTCTCTAATTCTTGTTTGTTTTTTTGTTCCAAAGGTTGGAATCTAGGAACAATGTTTTTAGTCAACACTCCCTAAAACAAAAACCAAAAAAAAAAAAAAACTTAAAAAAATTCTGATTTTGTTTTTTTTTAATATTTAGAAAGAACAAAGATCTCTGTGAAAATTTAATCTGCTCTGTGATGAAGGCTAAATTGTAAATCACATTATTTTTTACAGGCTGCTGACCTTTCATGAAAATGCAGGGTTTTTTTGTGTTTTTAACCAATTTCTTCATAAATACACTTACAAGTCACCTGACCCAATTTCAAAAAACGTTACGCAATTTTTGTCTTGTGAATTTAAGTGTTTTCATTATTTTTTATCATTTCACCCCAAGCAAGGCGATAAAGCCACTAAGATTCAGTGGATTACTTAGAGTGAAAGAAACAAAACGTTATTGATGAGAAAGGATAATAAAGGAACAGGATTCAAAAGGGCAAAAAAATGACAATTGACATTACATTTTATTGTAGTTGACAGGAAAGCAAAAAACCAAAAAAGTGTTTCACAGCCGAGAAGTGCAAGAGAAGAAATGATTAGAATACAACTTACAAATACATCCAGCAATTTCAACAATAAAATGATGAGACCTAGCTGCCAATCTAGTACTACACTTAATTCATCAATTTGAGATACCAAAGCTCATTAGGACAGCAATTGCCATTAAGATTTTTATAGAAAAGGTACTGTGAACTATGTTACAAATGTGGGAATGTGATTAAAGCCGAGATATCAAGTCAGGACCGATAATATTGTAGATTCTTCTTGGGATTTTATCATGAATCTCTAGGTATATAGCAGAAGCACCAGGCCAGTTGTGGCAGCAATATTCAATGCACAGATGAATTGCAGATTTATAAAAGTGCAAGATAGATTCTGGTGAGAAAAATTGCATAGCATGATGCAGTAAACCTACTTTCCTAATAGCAGACTTAGGAATTGACTTTATATAATCATTCCAATTCTTGTTATGTGAAAATGTTAGACCAAGAAGGCGTAATGAGTCACTCTCCTGAAGGTCAGCATCAGCCAGGATAATGGAAGGCAAAAAAAAGTTCTTTAAGATTAAAAGAAAGCAGTTCAGTTTTGAAGGCATTAAAATTAACAAGCTATTTCTTGCCCTAGTTAACAACTGATTGGAGGTCATTTTTGGTGACAGTTGCCAATTTGACTTTATTGAACCTATCAGACTTAGCATTATGTCAGGATTAAATAGTTGCTTTATTGGCTTAAATAGCAAGTTAAGAACTGATGACATCAGGAAGGTTGTTGATAAAAATTATTTTTGTGGCTGTCTGAAAAATCTGTGTGAATATCAAATTGATTATGCAAACTTGATTTCAACTGATTAAGATGAAACAAATTCCAAATTGTTTAAAACTCAGGAAAAAAATCTTGTGAGCTGATGATCCCTATCATTCTCTGGTTTCACTTTCTACAGATTCAATTTGCTTCAGCAAATTGAATCTGTAGAAATAAACAAATGATAAGTTTTATTTCATAAATAGTTCAAAAGTTGCACAAGTAACGATGGTGGCAATTCATATCTCAAAATCAACTCCTGCTATAGTTTCTTAGGTTTACATTTAAAATGAATCTTGAATTCATCACAAAACTTTTATCACAGTCATCATCATGTGACCTGTAGCCCCTTACTTTGTAGGGGTACTATATATATATATATATATATATATATATATATAATGCAGTAGCAGTAGTGTGTCCTGGGCAAGATAACCTGATAGGGTCCAAGCCTCTCCAGGCTGGTTTTGAATTCAGACTTTTTCCTTCTAGACTGGTTGCTACCTAACACTATAAATCCCAGTCTGTCTTGCTATTTAATCCATAGCTATAGGAAGAAAAGATGGATTCATACCTTTCTCAAGAGTATTAGCATGTAAGTGAATGAATGTAATGAACTTGACTGGAATTCAAACTCAGCTCTCCAGTTCCTTAATCTGAGCCGCTATCCATTAATCTACCACATCTATATCACAATAGATTCTTATCATTGTTCTATTTTATTATTATTATTTACTACTGTACACATGCCATTGAAATTAACAGCAAAGAGGAATGTATTATAAGTAATATGTATTATGTTGTAAGTAATTTTCATTTAATCCAAGTACAATTTTGTAATTTAAAATAGTTTGTTGTTAATGTTAATAATTGGACAGGGTATAATTTAAAGATATCCGTATATTATCTTCATAAATGTTACATATTTACAAAAAAAATTATGTTTATTGCAAAAGTTCTTCCCAAAGCACAATATTTTGTGTAAACTTTGGAAAGTTTGAGTAATTATTGACAGTCCATAGATTCAATCTTTAATTTCAGAGTCTGCCTATTTCTTGTCCTAAGAGCAACATATCATCAGATATTTTTTTTTTAATTTATTTTTTTCTCAACCTGTTACCAAATTCCATAAGATATGCTCTGAATTGTACATACAATAATTAATAACAAAATAAATATATATACAGACTCAGCATCATTCAATCCACCTTTTTGCAAAACAATTATCATCGTATGATTTGTATTTGTGAAGATATTTTAAAATTTAAAATATATAATAATTGCATTAGAATCCATTTTTAGCCATGCAAGCATTTCGAAATTGTCAGAATTAAAAAGTATAAATGAACAGGAATAATTATTATTTCCGTTCATTTTTACTTTTTAAATCTGCTGAGAATTTTGAAATGCTATATGCATTTTTTAATTTTCTATTCTCTTGAATTTATTTCTGTATTTTTTTTTTTTTTAATTTTTTTTTTTTTTTTTTTTTTGTGCGTAATTATTTTAACTTTTTATTATTCATTCATTATTACAGATTTTAAAAATGAAACTTAATAGCTATTCTTCTTTCTTTCTTTTTTGCTTTGCAAAAACAAATTATAAGAAAATATCTTAAATTAGTCCAGGCTGGGTCAGCTCAAGGGTTGCTACCCCACCCTGAAACTCTGATATAGAAAAATAATTTATGTTATGGAAAATAATTTTTTATTCAATTTTTAAAAAACAAACTTCATTGTTTTTTTGATTTGTTACTAACATGAAAAAAGTAAATAATTTAAAATTAATTTTAAAAACTATAGCGAGCCTTATTTTTTCAAAAATTAATTCAAATAAAATGTAGTTAAATTCATAAAAGTTAACATGACTAATGCTGCCTGTAACTCATGTCTGTCTTTCATAGTTTTTATTTAACTAAAGTTCTTTTTATCTTTTCAAAAACAAATATAACTTGAATTTGGACAGGTGGATCATCATTATTTTGCACACTTCCCTCAATTGTTAAACACAAATATATATATATATATATATATATATATATATATATATATATATATATGTATTCATGAATCATTCATACAAAAACAAATATAGAGGTTAATAATTTAAATGGCGAAAATACTTTTGTCGCAAACAAATTAAATAAGATGCATCAACCCCGAACCTGTATATGAATGATATAATCCCCGTTTATAAATTCCAGTTGCAGGTCTTTTTAATTTTTAATTATTTATATTGTTTGCGACGAAGTATTCTCGCCATTTAAATCATTAACCTCTATATTTGTTTTTTGCATGAATGATTCATGAATTTATAAATTATATTTGCACCTTTTAATTAAAAATATATATGTGTGTGTGTGTGCGTGTGTGTGTGTATATATATATATATATATATATATATATATATATATATATATATATATTGTTACTAATCTCTTATTGTTTCTCATTTTATAGATTTTTCGTATATGTATGTGAAAAAAAAAAACGTATACAAAATCTTATAGATAGACTGCCATTTTAAGCATTTACTGTTAATCCTGCAATTTATCCTCTTCAGATAACGGCAGACATGAATGTCCAAAAGGATCAAATTCTTGCAGTTGAGGAGATCTATTGCATACAAAGAGGAAGAAAAGAAGCTTTATACACTTGCTAAAACAACTTTACAAAGTTAGATTATCAACTAAGCAAGCATGTTTGGGATACAAAATAATCCTTAAAAATGCCGGCATGCTCATCTGAATATGTTTTATGCATTAGTTCTTTAAGCTTATTAACTAATATCCAAAGTTCTATGATAATAAAAGATTACAATCAAACAAAATATTTGTCCTGTAAAAATATAGATACAGTGAATTGCACCACTGGTAAAGGAAGCCTCTTGGGGGATTATGAAATTTCCTTTTTTCTTTATTAGCATTTTATCAATTTCTTGTTTGGACTCTGACATTTTCAGCTACACCTCACAAGGGAGAGCATTCTGTTTTTTAATCAGGTTCATAGTATAAAATTAATCTTGTAAAGAATTTAGTTCATCAGGCTTTGTTGAGCTATTGTACAAAACAATTAGAGCAGGAATTGGAGGATGTCTTAACTCTTAGAGAAGAGAATTAATCAACATATCCTGACATTTATTAGGAAGGGTCAACTTAATCATTTACATAGGTGTACTGATATTTATAAAAATCAAGTTTGTGCCGCATCCTTCATTATGGACATGTTTGCAATCTCCTATGCAGACAACACTCTAGCTTCTATCTGAAAGTTCTAGAAACAATCTTTAGTAAAAAATAAACAGGCAGCACTTTGTAAACAGGAATGGTTGTGTGAACTTAACATGATCTGTTTATGAAAAGGTCTACACATCTCAATATATTTTATTATTGAGGCGGAAGTGTATTTTTTTTTGTCTTTATATTCTTATTCATTCGGAACATTTATTTTATTTACCCCAGTTGATCTCTGAAGAGTGAAACCAGTTTGCTTATTCCATTTTTTTTCTTTTTATCATTTTTTTTTTTTTTTGGCTTTCTGTGTATTTCCAGTTTTATACCAACTACAGTAGGTGAGATCTTTTTCTGTGCTTGACTTTATGTCTAGTTCTATTGTCAGAATCAAGTTTTGTTCAGCTGACAAGATTTTCACTTATTTATATACTGTTTTATTTACTTATTTAGAAATAGTGCAACTGTGGAGTCAAGTCAAGGGCTGCTAACTCTTCTTCATCAAAATGATTGCAATCTTTGTTTATTTTAATAGCCAAGTGAAATTGATTGATATGGCCAACATTTTAATGTGATGAAAAGTATACTAATCTTGTAAGCTATTGATAGTTGCACTTGACTGTTATTTTTAAAAATATAACTGTTTTTTATTATTTTTATACATCAATATAAAATTGGTCACATGTGTGTGTAAGTTTTATCAGGAAAGAAGATTGAATTGAAAGAAGAATTTAGAGAACGTGTGTGATGAGTGCCTTTATGTGGGTGGGTGGGGGAGCCAGGTAATAGAAGTGAGTGTGAGAGAGAAGGGTGGAGATTGAAAACTATTTAGAAGGAAAACTTGTATTTTTCAGAAAGATTAGAATAACTTTAAATTTTTTAATATTTTTGGTATAGAAATATTTGAACATAATTTTTTTTTTCTCTCAAATAAATTATTCAATGAAGCAAAGATGTAGTTTTTCACAAATCCCATCACTTTGTCTTAATGAAGATTGGCTGAAACTCAAATTTTGGATAACATCAGGGTTATCATTGGGATGCACGTCTTTTATATTGAAATGTCTAAATTCTCGATGATTGTTTTCTATCGGTTATAAAAGAAACTTATCACAGCAGACATGTTAATTTATTTAATTTTCTAATTGATAAAATATTGGAAATAGTTCTGAATAGTACTTGCATGTGAGCATAAGAGTCCTTTTCTTTATAGCGAGAAAATTCTGGGCAGGTAAGGTTTATTTTGATACAAACTTCAAAGCAAACCTCCCTACCTCATTAAAACAAAATGCCAGTATTTGCTTGAAAACACAATCTACTTCTTCCTACAAATAAATGCAAATTAGTTTTTTCTTTTTCTTTCTTTCTGCAGAAACTGTTGATGTTGAAACAGTTGGGAAAGTGTGTTTAATTGCAATTAACCGTCCAGAGAAGAAGAATGCTATCGACACAGCAACTGCTCACCAACTCTACCGCGCTTTCCAAGATTTTGAAAAAAATGATAGAGTGGGAGTGGCAGTGTTGTATGGCAAAGGTATTTGTGCCCGTCCCTCACAATGGTCGTGGCAGCTCTTTTATTTTTTTTTCTGTTTTCGTTTCCAAACAATTTTGTCATTGACAGGTTGCAAGAGATGTCGTAACAATCACACACAATCTGTTCTTTTTCATCAAAATATTATTCCACACCTTTTTTTTTTTTTTTTTTTGCACTAATATCTTCATTTTTTTTCTCATTACTTCATCTCACAATGTTTTTTGGCTGATATATTCTTCACAAATTCAAGACAGAAAAGTGTTTTCTGACAAAATTTGATTGCTTATATCATACCACATGAGCTTGTTATGCCATGTAGCAATGCCTAGTTCACTTTAACCGGCAAAGCCATTGCTATTGTAGTGGACTATTTGTTTTTTTGGCTCATGTCAAACGTTGGGGTTACCATATGTAGTGGTATGTTAATAAGAATACACCACACAATTTATATTTTACGTAAAAATGCCACAAAACATGAAATACAAGAAGGAACAAAATGATTTTAAAACAATATAACATTTGTATTTATTTTGTGTATTGATGTACATGAATAGAAGTTAAAGATCTGTTGGGGTTATGTCCCTTAGACTGTGAATATTTTTATCTGAACTGACAAAATTTGAATTAATTACAAAGCTGAGAAATGCTGAATAAACTGTAGCTTTAGAAGAACGTTTCAAAGAGAAAAGTTCTTGTTGCATGTTTGGAAAAGTTCATATGTACATGCATGTGTGAATATGCTTTTAACATCTGACCGCCCATGGTTGAGACGAGAATCCTTAATGGTCTCATCTTCGTAGGAAGAGTAGAGAAGAAAAGAAAAGAGAATGAGCAAACTCGTGTCTACTATTTATAATTATTGTAATCACGTGACAGGCTCACAGAAAATGGCGGGAAAACTTGACTTGGTCACGCGCTGGGAAAATATTTGTATGTGGGTAGATTGCAACACCCACTTGCATGTTTATTGACCAATTAGGAGCTGATTTTTCCTGAAAATATTTACTAAGCTGCGTAGGCTCTCTGATCCACTTTTTTGCACAAAAATGTACAAAATTCAACATTGATAAGAAAGTGGTAGCAGGATGCTACATTATTGAGGCCCCCCCCCCACCTAACAACTATTCAAAAGCTAATATTTTGCATTTCCACAAAGACAGACTGATTAGTTTTTACTGATGAACAAAAACCATGAAGTAAAAACAAAATGTCAGGCATAAAATATTTTGACATTTCATCCTAAAAAGATATTTGCTTTCTGAAACTTGTTTATTTTTCTTTTAAAAACATTGGAGAAACTCTTAATTATTCTTTAACAATTGTTCACTCATTTGATCATTTTTGTTTTGTATTAAATAAAAATGTTCTTTTTCAAAAAGGCCTTTTTCTGATGAGTGTGGCTGTCTGGAAAACGAAACCACCAACAAAAGTTTCCTTCTTGTGCAACTGCCATAAATCTGAATCTGCTCGATACAGTCATCATCATGAGTTGTTGTGTAAAATTAAGATTGCTTTTTTTTTTTTAAAAAAAGCAAAAAAAGCTTCTAGATTGTAATAATAAACAAGAAAAATCTGTTCTAAAGACTAAAGTTGAGTTGTATTTTGAACTAATTTACCATAGAGACTGTTTAATCTGAAACAGTCATGTGCAGTGAAATTTTAGAGAGAAAAATAACAAAAATAGAAAGAGCCATATCACCCCCACCCAATAAAAAAGCTAATCTCAGTTTTCATGTTGATTTTCAAAGTCATAATCAGCAGCCAAATTTCTGGCACTCTTTGTCAGGTAAAAGATGAAAGCCATGTTACACAATGTAAAGAGATTTTTATTTACTCTTCACATCAACTTTCAACTGAAATTTACTTTACAAACAAGAAAGAAGTTTTCAATTTGGAGATATGTTTTTGTGGGAAAAATTGTGAAAATGGCCTACCTCGGAAACGCCTGCAAATCTGTGCGGTGTGCAAACTCCAGTTCTCTAGTGGTAAAAGGAACCAAAATGGCGACGCCCATATTTTATGCCAGGCGGTCTTGGTTAGTTAACGCGAAATCTCGTTGTCTCCTCATTCGCATGCAAATTGTGGTTGGCCCTCGGCTGTATAAAGCAGGCGCGTTTTGCTGTTTTGGATCAGAGGGCTTTTGGCTCGTGAGAAGGTTGGACGTGCGACACCAGGTTTTTTTTTGGTTACCCTCCTCACGGTTTTTTGTTCCTACCTGCTATTATTAGTTGAGTTGTTGTGTTACCTCCCACAAGCTATTTCGGCGATGGACAAGTTCGATCTAAAATTGATCCCAGAATTTGGCGGCTCCCCCACAGGCCCGACTGTTGTCGAATGGTTTGAAAAGGCCGAATGTGTTTGCAGGGTGTCCAAAATAAAGGAACCTGCACTGGTCATCCCACTGAGACTCACGGGAGGAGCCTATGCCGTATATCAACAACTCGGGGACGATGCTGACCTAGAAGAGATCAAGGGTGCCCTATATACGGCCTTTGGAATAGACCCATTCATCGCTTGGAAACAGTTCGTCGGATGATGGCTCAAGCCGGGTGAGACCATGGATGTCTACCTGGCTGATTTGCGAAGGCTGGCAGTACCGTTGGTGGAGCAACGGACCGCATACTGGGATGCGCCTTTCTGGCAGGACTTCCCGACGACACCAGTCAGTTCCTGCGAGCATCTTCAAGATTGGACACACTGGGAATTGATGAATTGCTAGCCAGAGCCCAAAACATCTTGAAAGACACGGAACAGGTCGCGGAAGCCGTGAGAACACCCAAGACACCGCGGGAGGGCCCAAAGTGCTACAAGTGCGGTGGACCCAACCATTTCTCTAGGGACTGCCGGAGCCGAAGTGACGTAGGAGGCGGGAGCAGCCGATGGAACCGAGCACGACTACGCTGCTATCGCTGCAAAGAGTTAGGCCATGTAGCACAGGATTGCTGTCGCAACCCTTGCCCCCTCTCAGTCAGTAAATGCGGCATTGCCTGTTGTCAACGTGTGCGTTGAGGGTAAATGATGTTCGGCGCTCGTTGACACTGGATGTTCCCGATCGATCGTTAGTGCGGATCGATGCATGACATGGAGCAGTCCACAAATTGAGATTCGGACAATTGACGGAGTGTTCTGGGCCTGTTGGGACTGTATCAATCCTCACAGACGGAGGGAATCATGCCAAGGTCGACGTTTTGGTGGCACGTCAAAGGCCCCTCGGTTACAACCTGCTGCTTGGGATTGATGCGATCCGAGCGTTAGGAGGCATGATAATCACGCCAGCCGGAAATGTGGAACTGGGTAAAGGAAGAAAGGTGTGTGCAGCCCTTTGCATTAGTGAGCCGGATTTTGACGTCTCTTTCAATTCCAACAAAAGGGTGTGTACCGCCAGGTGGAAATCAGCCCAAAAAGACCCACCAGTTCAGCTTCACAACAAGGTCGCAAAGTACAAAGTTCCCGACAGCATCAGAGGAAAATACGAGAAAGAGCTTCAACAGTGGATTGTGAACGGCTGGTTGATTCCGTACCCCCAGGAAAGACTGGGACCCACAAAGGGTCTGATTCCCTTGATGGCAGTCGTGCAGGAGTAGAAACAGAAGGTGCGTCGTATTTGATTACCGCGGAATTGAACGACTTCGTGGAAGCTTTTACTGTCGATGCAGAAGTGTGCGCACATAAGTTGAGAACGTGGCGGTGGCAGGGGGTCAATGTGTCGCTTCTGGATCTGCGGAACGCATATCTTCAGATTCATTGACGAAGCGCTGTGGCCATTTCAAACGGTTATTTTCAAAGGCCAACACTTCTGTCTTACGTGGCTAGGATTTGGGCTGAATGTAGCACCACTCATTATGAAATCCGTTATAGATGCCATCGCCACATCAGCATACGTTGATGATATCTTCATTAATGAAAGTTTGGCCTTTGCATCGCGTGTAAAACAACACTTTTCGGATTACGGTTTGGTGTGCAAGGATCCGGTGCGACTGAGAGATGGAGCAAGAGTTCTTGGCTTGCAAGTCTGGGAAGAAAATGGCACCCTCCGATGGAAACGAGGAAGTCAAATTCTAGAAGTCCCTGATGTGTTGACCCAGCGGCACGTATTTTCATTGTGTGGGAAACTTGTTGGACATTTCCCCGTGTGTGGATGGCTCAGGTTGGCAGTTGCATTTGTCAAGCGCCTGGCAACCACAGCAACCAATGGATGGGATGATGACATCAAAGATCCCTCTCTCTGTCGCATACTAGCAGAGATGTTAAGTAGGGTGCGAGAACTGGACCCCATTGGAGGAGACTGGTGCATGAGAGTTGACGAGATCACAGTCTGGGTGGATGCGAGTTCCGTGGCGACAGGAGTGGCATTGGAAACGAACGGAAATGTCATCGAAGATGCGTGTTGGCTGCGTCCGACTAATGATGCCAGGCATATTAATTTAGCTGAACTCGATGTGACGCTTAAAGGAGTGAATCTAGCCCTCCAGTGGGAGGTGACAACATTGCACTTGGTTACTGATTCGGCGTGTGTGCACCGGTGGATTTCTGACACCTTGACCGGGAAGGCACGGGTGAACACAAGGGCGGCTGGTGAGATGCTGGTCAGGCGATGGCTGGGCATTTTGCGATCGCTGGTGGAAGAATATGGATTGACCATAGACGTGACACTCGTACAGTCCTGTCAGAAACATGCGGATCGCCTCACCAGAGTACCGCACAGGTGGCTAGAACTGCTCAAGAGAGGAGAACCGGCGCTCGAGTGCTGTGCAGTGGTAGGGAGACGACTGGACGAGGGCCAGGTTGCCAATACCCATCATCAAAGCGGACATCTGGGTGTGAAACGAACTCTGTACTTTGCCAGGTTAGTCGACCCGCAGGTGTCCAGAGAAAGCGTTAAATCCGTTGTGAAGGCCTGCACAACCTGTCAGTCGATCGATCCGGCACCCGTTCACTGGGAAAGAGGAGAACTGAGCGTGAACAGCAACTGGAGCAGACTAGCGATGGACATAACTCACTACAATGGTGAGAATTTTTTAACGATTATTGATTGCGGTCCCTCCAGGTTTGCGGTATGGCGGCCGCTGCGCAGACAAGATGTGAGCACTGTCATTCGACTGTTGGAGAATGTTTTCCTGGAGCGAGGCCCACCCATGGAAATACTGACGGACAACAATACTGCATTCACCAGTAAAGACTTTAAAGAATTTGCGGACAATTGGGACGTGCATCTGCGGTTTCAATGTGCCTACTCGCCAAGTGGAAACGGCATCGTGGAGCGAAACCACAGAACTATCAAGACCATCGCAGCCAGGAAGGGCTGTACAGTATCGGAGGCGGTTTACTGGTATAATGTCGCCCCGAAAGATAACATTTCACTGTCCACGGCGCCGGCTGATGCACTGCACAAATATCATGTCCGAGTGAAAGGCATCGAAGCCAACCCACTAGAAGTGACTGGAGGGAGATTGAAAAAAGGAGATGTTGTTTGTGTCAAAAACCCACGCGGCAAGTTTACGACAAAATACGACACTGGACGTGTTACGGAGGTGATCAGCCCGCAATCTGTGAGAGTTGATGGGGTGCCTCGTCACATTAAAGACTTGCGACCGGTGATGCAATCACTACCGTTACTGAACGATTAAAGCGATTCCAAGTCTGAGAGTAGTGAGCGTTCAATCTGCCTTGAGTTAGACCTGCAGGGCAGTGATTCTGATGACAGCAGCCTCCCGGCGGACACAGTGCTTACCGACACTCAAACCACAGACGAGAACACGCATGAGGATGAAGCTTGTGTTGTCCCCCTTCGGAGGGGGACTCAACGGCGACGATCGCCACCTCCTTGCCCTGTTTGTGATCATGAGATCAGTGGGGAGTGTGGGGAAAATTGTGAAAATGGCCTACCTCGGAAATGCCTGCAAATCTGTGCAGTGTGCAAACTCCGGTCCTCCCAACGGTAAAAGGAACCAAAATGGCGGCACCCATATTTTATGCTGGGCGGTCTCGGTTAGTTAACGCGAAATCTCGTTGTCTCGTCATTCGCATGCAAATCGTGGTCGGTCCTCGGCTGTATAAAGCAGGCGCGTTTTGCTGTTTCGGATCAGTAGGCTTTTGGCTCGTGAGAAGGTTGGACGTGCGACACCGGGGGTTTTTTTGGTTACCCTCCTCACAGTTTTTTGTTCCTACCTGCTATTATCAGTTGAGTTGTTGTGTTACCTCCCCCAGTTTTCTGCTGGATTTAAGCAACATGGTCATTAACAAATGGGTGACAATTTGTACATTGTATGTTCTGTAACTATAAACAAAAAATAGGAAAATTTTCAGAATCATAAGATTGGCTTGGCTTGAAGTTTTCTTATTATCCTGAAAGACTGTAAATTATTTGAATGACATTTTCACCAGTGTTTGGTGGTGGGGTCTGTTTTTTTAAACAGGTGGAAACTTTTGTTCGGGATTTGATCTTGGTGAATTAGCTGATGAATTTCGAAATACCTGTTACTCAATGCCTGATATGCCGAGTCGATCAGAAAGAGCACCAATGGTAAGAATTCCTAATTTGTATCCTTCGTTAATAAGATTAAGTTTTAGTTTCATATTCATCAGTTAATTAAGATTATTTTTCACACATTCTTATGATTAAATATATATTTCTCTTATGAATTTCCATATAGTGAAAAGAAAACAATTTCTGTTTCATGATTTTCTGATGATTCTAAAATGCTTTGAGAAATTGAAAGGAACAAGGTGTTTAGTAAATCATTTTAGGCCTCCCCCCTAAAATTCTTTGTTGTTGCACTTTAATTAACAGGAACTCAGAAATGGTAAAGTAAAGAATTCATAGAGTTTGGTTTTATTGTTAGCCACCAAATGTTTTCTAATGTTGTTTGGGTTAGAATGAATCAGTTAATCATTCACTATTCAATATAAAAATCATCAATATTTGATTAATAAAGTTAAATTGATTTTTCATAACAACAAAAACTTGCGAAATCTGATACAAAATTATTTAAGATAATTTAAAATTATTTTACAGACTTTGTTTGCTTCTCTGTTATAGAATATGTTTTAGATTGCAAATTATTTCATAAATTTTAACAGACTCAAGACAAAGGCTAAAAAGACTCTAGATGTTTGACTTATTCAACTTCTCCAGTTTTTCAATTCACTTGCTCAGTTTGTTTTTATAAAATATTTCCAAATGTTATTTACTTTCTCTCTTACTTTTCTGTTTGGTCATTTGTTAGGGTCCGACTCGAATGTCATTCACAAAGCCTGTGATTGCTGCTGTCTCTGGGTATGCCGTAGCAGGGGGTTTGGAATTGGCTCTAATGTGTGACATCCGAGTCCTTGAAGAATCAGCCATCATGGGGGTCTTCAATCGGAGATTTGGTAAGGAAAGAATCATTTCAGACTTAGAACTTTTTCAAAAAATAACATTTAAGGGCAAAGTCAAGGTATTTATTTATTTTTAGCTGTTATTACTTTAATAGGGTTCTTTTTAAATTTTGTAAGATGAATATTAAACAGTATCTTCAAAAATATTTGCATAATAAAAATTTAAATGTTTGAAAACCTTCCTAAACCTAAACATGTTTTTTTTCTCTATTTAAAAAAAAAAAACAGTTTTCTCTCATAGTGGAAAGTTTCTCCTATTTTTTCTTGAAATGTTTTTGTTTTTTATTAAGAATTTTGTATACACTTAGGAGTTGGATAAAACCAAAAACGTTGATAAGATTTGTTGCCATTGAAAATTGCTCAAATCAAATCAGTTTGAAATACATTGAGTAAAGGGAGACAACTCGATTAATGCAATCATTTCAATTTCCACTTTTTGTTTTTGATCGTCGTCATCATTTGGATAGAAAAGTTTTAACCGAATGTTAAATTGGCTTGTAATTAGGACAGTCTTGTTTGCAATATATATATATATATATATATATATATATATATATATAGTGAAAACAAATTGATACTTGATTTATCAAGGAAAAAATTTTCTCCCAAATCATTCTTTAGAATTTTTGTATCAGATTTTCTGCTTTCTGAACTTGTTTTTTTTTTTTTTTTATTTATATCAAAATGGAGTGTTTGTTTTGGTTCTGTTTTTTGTCGTACCAAATATAATACACTCTAGATAATTGGTATTCTTAAAATTTATGAATCACAGACAAATTCATGAAACTCCTCCTTTTTTCTTAGATTTTACAAATTAGATTTTTTCTGTATTATTATCTCTCCAGGTATTCCTCTGATTGATGGAGGCACAGCTCGTTTACCACAGCTGATTGGCTTGTCTCGTGCCCTTGACATGATTCTCACTGGTCGGCCTGTAGACAGCAAAGAAGCTCTCAGTTTTGGATTGGCCAATCGAGTTGTACCAACTGGAACAGGTACAAAGCAATTGGAGATACTCATTTAAATGAAACCACAGTTTATCAGTCTATTCTGTATATATATATATATATATATATATATATGTGTGTGTGTGTATATATACGTGTGTGTGTATATTACTTAAACGTTATTTAATATTCAGTCTACTGGCCCGAATAATCAAGAACTCTTATTAGAGAAAAATATGTGCACTCTGGCAGGATTTGAACCTGTATAGGAAATGGTCATTAGATTTGATGTGCTTTTGACCTCTTAGCCACACAATGCATCAATGCTCAAGCAAAGTTGAATAGTGCCTTTGCTTGACCATCGTCACATTCTGCATACCCCCACTCCCAGCTATGAGTAAATAGCAGCACAGACTGGGATCCTATAGCCTTGGGTGGCGAAGTTTAGCAGATAGACAGCTCTGAATTCAAAAACTGCAGAGTGTTGTTTAGGGACCTTGTGGCATATTGTGCACCAGGTCTCTGTATTTGGCACTTCCAAAAAGCCTTCACCACTACAATCAAATGATATGTGTGAATAGTCTGGCTGTTGATTCTAAGAACTCAGCTGCTTCATTCCTCATACATAGAAAAAGACGGGATAGTCCAGTATGTATATATATATATATATATATATATATATATATAGGTAACTACACTCGTCTCGGAAAACCTTCGGTTTCTTGATTTGCTAATAATCAAATCAATTTAGAAGGAAAAAAGGTTTTAAAAAAATAAAGAGCTAGGAACATGAACGTCTGTCGAAAATAATCGTACAGCATACAGGTCCAAAGCCCAAAGAAAAAACCCTGATACGAGTAATCAGCTTTACCTGATGATCCGCTTAGGTGAAACCTTGGTAGGTTTATCTGGCTCTCTAGGTTTGACTATATATATTGTTATACCCGGGGTTTCATTGGGACTACGATAGCCGGGACGCAACGAGAAAATAAAAAAAAAATAAGTAAGAGATCCCAAGGTTCGATATAAAAATAAAGAAAAGAACGTTGGGAGGGGAATTCTCCAATTCCGGACGTCGGTAAATGCAGAGAGAAAATGAACAATTCACAGACACAGAACAACAGAAGACAACACGAGAATATATAATACAAAGATTTTATTTCTAGAATGCACAGAGTGTGAATGTAAGAAAAAGAAAACTAAATAATACTAGGGATGGGGAGATAAGTTACTAATTAAACAAATATTAATGCGGCGAAATACATATGAATACAGAGATAGCAGATTATAAGATATGGAAAAACATGCAGAAACTTACATAAGGTTGGAATCGACGTCGATTGACTATTATCGGGGTACAGTTTGTTCAAAGGATATTTACACACTTCTTTGAGAGTAACGGATGGGATTGACAATGTTCTAACATGAATTCTTGACTGGCAACGTCCAATCCGTGTTGATGGCGAGGAGAACACACAGAAAAATCACAGGAGTTGACTTGGGTTAACAATGTTGATCTAGATTCTTGCGTCGGTCCTTTGGTTTTTGATGGCATCTAATTCTTCTGACATCAAACAACGAAGTCTGGTTCTGTTGACAACTGCTTCTTCTAATGGCAAATAAGACTGGTTTTTGGTGACGTCTGACTCCTCCGATAACCAGCAACTATCTGTGGTTGTTGTTTCCTCAACACGTGCGAAACGAAAACTGCTATATTTTGAGTCACGTGTTGGCCCCCCAAAAAGGTATGCGTCATTCACGGACCCTGTTAATATCATCCACAGTTATCTGTCAAACAGCGTTTGTTTTGGCCAGCGACTATGGAACTGGTTAACATCATTCACACCTATCTGTCAAACAGCGGACCAGGTAGGAGATGGGGGTAGAAGAGAAGGTTCTTTACCGAGAACTGGCCTTGACTCATCTGGTTATAAAAACAATATATATCTCACAATCTGCATATTTAAGAAATAAAGAAGTTAAGATTCACATGTTTCGTCGCAAATACAAAAGGTACTAAAAATATACTTATAAAATCTGAGGTGAGGGTACAAATATGGGGTTAACGTAATATATATATATATATATATATATATATATATATATATATATATATATATATATAAATAAAATTAATTAAATTGGAGACTTCAGAAAGCAATGGTAATATTTTATTTTGCAAAACTGATAATTCAATTTCACTTTGTCAGATCTGGCAGTTTCAAAGCAATGAATGGATTCAAAAATTCTTCCAGGAATCAAATGAAAAACAAGATTAATGGAAGTTGTGTTTTAAGATAGTCTGACAAAGTATGAAGGGAAGGAGAGAGGGTATATATCTCTAGAAGATGCAATAGTAGTAGTAGCATTGAGTAGCATTGACCTCTTGTTCATTGGATAAGAGAAGTAGGTGGAGATGATTTTTCAAGAATGGAACAAAGAAAAAGGAAAAAGAAGGGAAGAGGAGAAAGGAAAGGAGAACCCACGAACATACACAAATCCCTATACCTACATACATACACATTCTTCTATATACACATATAAATGTACATACACATATTCACATCCATCTACACATAATGCCTTCACACGTACGTATATATACACACACTCACATATTTATCTATTTTTATTTATAAACACTAACACTTATGCACGTATTTGAAAGGTATATTCCTAAATAAGTATTTAGATAACATGTAAGATGTCCTCAAATACATTACTAACCATACAACTGTAAAGGGGCACTTAGGAGTGTTTTCCATCAAGAGTACCCAGACACATACACAACACATAATCTATGCACCCACCCATGAGAGAACACAACATACAGCACACAAATACATACCTGTACCTATCTACACAGACAGGGGCACACATGTTTGCATATACAAAAATATATGTCACAACACAGATGCAAAAGCAAAGAAGTACAATAGTATGCTTGTACATACTCGTGCATGAAGAAATGTAAGCGTTAGATGCCCAGGTAAGAGGATTTTTTGTAAAGTGAGGTCACGTGATGAAGGTAGGGGAATTACTTGAAGGTTCATATGTGGAAATTTCTGACTAAGTGATTTATTACCCATTATTATTTTATGTATACGAAAGGGCAAAACAAAATGTAGTTTTATATATATATATATATATATATATATTTAGACATGCATATGCACATATACCTATCCATATACATATGCACAAATACATGTAAAACATCCAAAAACCCAAGTTCAAGTTAATTTTCTTTAAAATTGATGTTATTTTAGAAATATGAAGCCATTCTTATGTCTGCATTTGAAGACAAGTTTGTTTTGTCAATTAAGTAGTTTGTTGGTTTTTTTCATATTTTATTATCAGCATTTTTTCTTTGATGCAGTGATCACATCTGTCCCTGAAGTTGATGGGAATTCAGGCCTTACAGATGATCCTCTATTTTAATTGTAGGGTGAAGCCACCATCAATAAGGTCCCAATAGTGTTTTGACAAGGATGTTCACTGTCTTAGGAATTTGTTGTTGAAGGAATGCCAATGATTGTAGAAACGATGTTTCCAATTTCCCACTGAAATTCCAATGTAAATTTTTTTTCTGGTATAAATTTTCCTTTGGCAAAAATCATAGCTTCATATACCACATTTTCTGAAGTGCAAATCCCTCCCCCTGGACAAACAGCCTTAACTCTACAGCTACAGGGAGGTTAGTTACCCTGTGACTCACTGTCGTGAAATTTTCTAAAGATATGGTTGTTATGGGAATTGATTATATTCTCTATGCTGCCAACACATGAGTAACTGATTTTTAAGGTTTTTCTGTTGAATATTTTCTTCAAAGGATTGTTATTATTAATAATGTGTTTGTCTATTAACTTTAAAAAATATTTGCCAATATTGATGTTGGATAATCTGCAGGAGGGTGGGTTAAACCATATTATCTTCCTTTTTCTATTTTTAGACTTGTTAGGTTATCATTTCTCAGATTTTGTTGGTAATTTAGCTCTTGTGTAAAATTGCTTTTTCTAAGGGCCTGATTATATGTGATTTTATTTTCATTAAAAAATTTTTTGTTAGATGATGACTTATTGATTCTGGTATTAACAATACTAGGAATTTGTTTTAAAATTGATTTCAGGTGGCTAGAGTGGATGTTGATATATATATATATGGGGGTTTGATTTTGTTTATGAAAGGGCTTGAAAATATCATTGGAAAGACTGAAGGTAACATCTAGGAATTTAACTATCTTGAGGTTGGAAGATATATCAATTTTAAATCCCAGAAATTGAAAGGTTTTTATGATCTTTCTTTTGTAATTTGAAAGAAAGGGGACCATTACTATTTGGGATAACTATGAGTCCATCGTCCCTGTAAAGACCTACTTGGTTATGGCTAATAATCCTACTGAGTGTATTTAATATGTATATCCCTACTAACTCCACTATTTGAGCAGAGTTGTATGCTCCCATAGGAACATCAAAGTTATTATTATTACTTTTTATCCAAGAAGAGTTGTTATACATTAGTATAGATTGTCTAGATGCTACAATAACTTTAAGCTTATCATCAGTAATCTTAGTATAATTCTTAGCAAAGTCTAAACTTTTAAGTAATAGTTCTTCTGAAATGGAGGGGTAGAAGCCTATGATATCAAATTGAATAAAGGTCGCATTTTTCTTATTAATGATATTCTGGAACCATTAATAGTGTCAGAAGAATCTTTCCAAAGGTTGATAGAATAGTTTTCTTGTAAAGATAGTACTATTCTTTTTAGTATGTTTTTCAAGATTTAGCCTAATTCAGATTTGGAGGGATTTATTAATCGGGTTTGTAGGTTGTTATCAAAAATTAGGTTTATGGTCTTTGAATAGTAAATAGTCATTTTTCATGAGTTCTTCCCACTTTGTCAGCGATATTAAATTTGTTGGTAAATTTGGCAGAGTGTCTCTATCTATTGAGGAAATAGTGTTATAATAATTGTCTTTTTTATATGTATTAATGGTTTTCTTTAAAAGTAGTTGGTGATAATCTGAGGGTTTAATTTTGTAGATGTTTTTAGATTTATCTGCTTTAATCCATAATTTCTGTCAGTTTTTGATGTCACTAATGTCATTTTTTTTATTTTGTGTTGGAATTGGTTATAGTTATTCTTGAATCTGATTCTTTTAATTAGGTTGAAAATATTGACTTTGAAAGAGTCTAAGAGTTTGTTATTGGGTGGAGTTCTTAGAGATTTTAGGTTATATGTTTCTCGTTTGTATTTTAGTGCATTTTGAGGGTTAAAGTGAAAGTAAGCGTCCCATCTCATTCTTTTTATAAGATCAATTATTTTATCTGTAAGTGAAAGCATGAAAGAATTTAGAGGATAAGGGATATTTTTCAGCAAATAATCCAGAATTAATTTTTCCATCTCTTGGTGAAACTGTGGATGCGTAAAATGATCCGAAAGGAAGTATTCCAATGAGAGCTCAACTTATTGGTATACACTGACACAGATATCAAGTGCCCTTGGAAAAGATTGATAAACAGTGAATATATATATATATATATATATATATATATATATATATATAGTCACAAACCTACAATGCTTAATCGTAAATTTTTCAATTAAAAAATATTAACAAGGTTGCTTTGTAAAATGTTTAGATATTTTTGTTGCTTTTTTGCTTGTGAAGAAATGTTAATGTCCCAATACCACTTCAATCTCCATTTTTTTTTCACCTGGGAAAGTAAAAGTGTATATTTTTTAGGTACCAATAGGGAAGATCTGCTCTATACAAAAATATGCAAAATTATTTGATATGAGGGGGTGCTGAAAAGTTCTCAACCTAAACTATTTCACATTATTTGATCAGTCTTCAAAATTTTTTTCTTTAAATCCTTTTTTCAGGCAGACTGCAATTTTTTCAAAATCCCTCAAAGTTATTTTTCTTATTTTCTTTTGCTCATTATGTTGAGAGTTGCATGTTTGTAAAAACTTTTAATATTTAAAGCAGAAATGATACCCGAGGTGATCTTATTTAACTAAGAATTAGAAGTCCGTTTCAATATTTCCCTGTTGACTGAAGAAGTTGCTTAAGAAAATGAAACTCTGTGTCTTGTTTATCTTGATTTTTCCTGAAACTTCTACAATTACAGATATGCAGACATTTTATAATCACAAACCAAACAATGCTTAACTCACTTTTTGGTTGTTCTACTCTTTGCCCTTCCTTAGGTGCCTCTCATACTTGGTAAACTTTCTCTGAATTCAATCCATGACAGATAATCTATTTTCATTCCACTTTTCACGCTTAGTGGGGAGATAATTTGTGTCAGTTAATATTTTGCAGTTTATTGGTGTTTGTGTCATTTGTCTGCTTCTTCCATTGAATTAACAAACTTATTTTAGTTTCTCACAACCTCAGTAGATCTAGCATAGATATGAACAGAGCATCTGCAAACCTCTGATGAAAAAAAGGAAAAATCATTTTCCAAATAAATTGTCCATATGACATATGTCCTAATGTATTAAACAGTTGGTTAACCATGTCTGGTTCCCTTGTATTTGTGAGTTCAATTCCTGGTTGAATTAACAGACAAGTAACACAAAAGGCAAAATTGACCGGAGAACATTAACTGGTATGAGTTATCTCCCTTAAGTCTGGAAAGCAAAATAAATTTGTCTATCAGGTTTTAGATAAGAAGGGCAAACCTCAAGCTGTGACTTTAGATATCTTGAAGGTATTTGGCAGGATTTGATATGCTTGTCTTCCCTATAAGCTCAAGGACTATGGTGTTTCTGCCTGGATATTTGATTTAATCTAATCGTTCTTAACAAATCAGGTAATGTAGGCCATGTTGAACAGACATGCTTATAGATCATTTCACTTTCATTAATGTGGGTGTCCTCAAGGGCCCTGTTCTTGAACCTACGGCAGTTTAGGATCATCAACGACCATAAGCCTGATGTCATTAGTTCCCATCTAGGTATTTTTGGATGCTGATGACACAACTATTTATTCCTGTCTTCATAGTAAGCCTGATTGGTCTGACAAAGTAAAACTTGCAGGTTCTTTTGAAAATGACTGTCAATCAGTTGTTAACTGGGGCAAGAAATGACTTGTAAATTTTAACACCTCCAAAATGAAACTGCTATCTTTTAATTATAGAGAATCTTTTTTTCCTTCTATCAGCATGGCTGATGCTCACCACCATGAGAGAAACCCATTGTGCCTTCTTGGACTCATGTTTTTCTACTGACATGAAGTGATATCGAATCAATTACTAAGTCTGCTGCTAAGAAGGTTGATTCACTGGATCCTGGCATACAATTTTTTCCCAACAAATTCCATCTTGCACATTTATAAACCCACCATCCCATGCATTGATTATTGCCGTCATATTTGGTCTGGGGCTCCTGCTATATATATATATATATATATATATATATATATATATGACAAAATCCAAAGAAGTTTCTAATAATCATCGGTCTTGCCCGGCATCTTGACTTCAGTCATTTTTCCTCTGCTGTGATGTGGCTTCTATCTGTTTTCTCTATATTTTCATGACATCTCTTCTTTTTACCTTGACCACATGAATTTAAGCTTACTACTAGATTGGCAACAAGGTCTCATCCTTTTAGCCAGATGTAATCGTAAATTCTATTCTAACAGTTTTTTTTTTCTCACTTGTAGAACTCTTTTCTGATTTCTTGTTTCCGTGTCACCTACGTTTTTCAAAAATTTAAATCAATCACCATCTTCTGACTAACAGAACCCTCAAATAATTAAAAAAAGAAAAAAATCTACCATCATGAATTGAATAAAAGGTTCAGTTTAAATTAAAGAAGAGGCACAATAGCCAAAATAGGAGCATAACAACCAAGATGAGGATACTCGTTTGAATATATTTAATTGCAGATAATTACCTGACCTACAACCCTTTGCCATCCCCTTTCCCCCCTCTCACCAATGCCGCCTCCTGACCGCATTGTTCATCTTTAATCTTCAAATTGGGAATTTTTCAGCCGTTGGTCAAGCAACTCAGTTAGCATTAAGCATCTCTCGTTTCCCTCAAATGTGTCTTCAAGTCGATCGGGCATCTGCCTATTATTCAGCGTATGATGCAATTTCTATGCAAGATGCTTTACAAAATGAATCTTTCAAGGCCAGAGAAGTGATCCGAAGTGAATCCATCAAAGGTAGGTTGTCTGATTTTTTTTTTTTTTTTTTTTTTGGCTTATTCTACAGAATTTTTCAGGTATCAACCATGCAGTTCTGCAAAAGATTCCAATAGTTATTTATACTTTGATTTTTACTATTGGCATTTGGTAAGACAGATGTTTGCAATAAGTTAAAAAAAAAAAATTACCATTTATGGTAATTTTGTGAAAAATAAAATTGGAACAAATCTATTTTTTATTTTTATGCGCATAATACAGTTCAAAAATAATAGAAATAAAAACATGATGTCTATTTTATAGAGTATCTACTAAAAAAATAACATTTGATATAATAAAAATGTCAGATTAAAAATAAATCCATATTGGGAAAAGTCTTTCCCTAAAATTGTTCTTGATAGACAAAATTTTATATATCGTTTTGCAATATAGAATTCAAGTTGGGAAAAGAAAAAAAGACAATGAAACAAGAGAGAGTTGATAGGTAAATCTTCTTTCTTTTTTTTCTTTTTTTTTTTCTTACAAGCAAACATTTCCCATTCTAAAATAACAGATTTTGTTTCTTCTTAGTCAAGGTCACTTTTCCAAAATTGACCATCTTTTAATATTTGTATTTGTTGAATAATTTGCCTCTTTTTACTTATAAGTGAAACCAGCTTCTATCCAGTTATTCTCATGAACCTATTGAACCCTGATACCACTTACCATAACGGTTATCCAGATATTTTGGTTAAATTTCACTGTGAAGAATAGCAAATGTCTTGTACAAAGTTGCTCATATGAACAGACTTACAAGGGCCTGTTATTTTCAGAAGCCGTTTCAGTTACATGTCACTTATGACTCTCCTTGGCACATCTTTTATTTATTGATTGGAGGCACGAGTCTTGCACTGGTAAACTGATACAAGTTCAATGGGTGACACATTTTATTCAACTTTTCTCATTTATTTATGCAGACACCAACAGACACATAAGCAATTCATTTTCATCGCATTAAAAACAAAAATATATTTCTACATTTTTTGATGGCTCATTCTAGCAATTTGTAATTACTAACATTAAGAAATAAAATCCAATTAGTTTGAAAATAATGGGTTGCATTTTCAAAATAGATGCAGATTAATTTTTCAAGAATTAACTTAATTTATTAAATAAAAATATTACAAATATTTTAAAGAGTTTATTATTTACCCCCTCCTTCATTTAATTTCCAGTTATGAAGAGAATATTCTGGAAAAACCTAACAGTTTCTAAATAATCAATTTATTTTTAATAAACTGTTTTTTTCTTCTTTATACTCAAATCAGCAGATCCTTTTCTAGTTTTACAAATAAAATTAATTTCTGTAATTAATATTTTCTATTTTTTTTTTAAATTTTATTTTAGGTGCAAAGAAATTTATATCTGGTGAAGGCAAACATGGTTCATTTGACGATTTTAAGGACAAAATGTGAATTGTCATCTGTTGTGCAACATTCAAGAACATTTTCCTTTGCACATCAATTACAATGAAAAAAGGCTTTCATTTATCGTTTTGAGGTTTGCTATTAACAAAACCATTATCATGAAAGATTATTTATTTTTTTTTTTTTTTAAATAATCTAATTTCCAATTTGAAGACAATCAATTTTTTAAATTCCTAATTCTTGGAAATCAATTCTGTCTAAAAAAGAAAAAAAAAGTGGTTTTATTTACAATTTCATTTTGATGGAATTATATAAACTACTGCTAAAATTAGTTTAATAATTAATTTTAACAAATGGAGGTGGACATTTTATTTTTTTAACAAATATTGAAATTTTTTCTCATTTGAAAAAAAAAAATCAAAAACTATTTATATTTAAGAAATGTTTTGACTTTTTTTTTTTTTAACATGAAATTCAGGGATAAATTTAAATCTTCCAACAGAATATTTAGACTTGATTTGGTTAAGATTGTTTTGTCTACACCTGACCCCCCCACTTCCTTTGTTAACTGAAGGTTTGGCTTTGTAAAGACGATCATGACTTGATCATTTTGATGACAACATTTAAGTTGAAATGTCATCTTCGCAATAAAGATAATCGAGCTGTGATTTTGGTTAACTTTTTCCTTTTTGTGTGTGAAACAAATAAATATATTTTTCTTTACCAAAATCCGATTCTGCTGAAAAAGGAAGTGCAAAATTTTGTTTATAAAATGTTTTTGAATTTCGTCCATTTTGGAAAAGAAAAACTCCAAACACAGAAATCCTTTAACAGTTTTATTTTAATAAAAACTACAATGAAAGACGCTTGCATAATGGTTTCTGTATTTTCTTTTTGATTCTACAATTTCCATAGCATTTGAACTTTTCTTACTAATCCAGAAAAGAGGAATTCATTGTCTTATTCCAGAAAGCAACTTGCAGACCAAATCTTGAGACAAATTGATGTCGGAAAAGTCATTTTGAAATTTTAAAGAAAAACAAAAAAATATTTCAAAGTAAAATTTGAAGCACCAAATTTGTTGTTTTCATTTATTTAACTGCACAGAGATGGGTTTTTTTTTTTTTTTTTTTTTTTTTTTCCAGATATAGGGTGAGGGGATCAGATTCTGACTTGTGCCTTCAGCCCCCTCCCCATAATAGGCTCGGCTCTATCCTTATTGAAATACAATCTCCCTGCCTCTGAGCAGTATTTACAGGTCTTCCCCAATAAAGTCAGACAACCATTTTTGGTAATGCAGAAATTTCAACCCTTTTTACTCTTTTTCAGTCAACAATGTCATGGATTTTGGCTTTTTGCCATTTCCAATCCTTCAATAACAACTTTTGGGCCAAGAAAGTTTTTGTAACTCTTTGCCTCTTCTCTTGAGAGTAAATTTGTTATTATTGTTGTTTCACAAGTTGGGTTTAGCACCCCCGCCCAGTCCACAAGGGGAGGGGAAATTGTTATTTAAGAAGTGGATTGGTACTGATATTGTTTTGATCAGAAAGGAAAGCCAAGAAAACACAAATTCAACAGATTTGCAAATTAAATTTATTATTTTTAGCTGTCGTGAAATCTGACAAGAAAAGATCTGGAATGTAAGCTACACACTGCCTGGTGCCAGTAAAACATCTGAAATAATTAACTCCAGAGTAGCCATTGGAATCTCTTAGATTTTGATTTGTTGGCCGGAGATCAAAGGGGGGGTGGTCAGAAGAGATTTACTGATATGTTTCAATGCCTTCTATTATTTTGGTGGGATTTTACAAGCTTACAAAGTCTCAAACACACATACTATCAATTTAATGGTTCCTCTGTTGTATGTCCATCAATACAATAAAGTCATGTAATTTTCAAATGCGATGATTCGTTGTCTCATAAAGAAACACAATCTACATTCATTCGTTCGTTTGTTTAATTCTTGCAGACAAATTGGAAGATAAAATCAAAAAACGTTTTGAAAGACAAAAAGTGTCGTTTTTATTTTAATTTTTAAAATTTTAGAATTTGTTGTCACCAGTCACTTGCAGGGGGAGGGGGGTGTTGATGCTTAAAACAATTGGTAATTCTATCCGGGTCAAATTAGGGGAAAAGATTTTGACCAAAGAAACACCCATGGGACAGTAAATTGAAAATAACTGATTATTTGCTGCCTTACTTTCAGAAAAACACAAAATTAAGCAGATTTCTTGTGGAATGTTCAGAAAAACAATAAGCAAGAACTAAAATAATTGCAAGAAAATTCAGGAAAAATAAAAGTGATTATTTTTGGTCCAACTCTTGAAAGCTTCCACCTCCAACAAAACATCAATTCAAGAGCCACCTTGAATCATTAACAAAAAAAAAAAAAAATTTATGCCCCCCCCTTCCTCTTGTGTCCAAGTAAAATAAAAACAAGATTATAAAAAACAAAAGGTTACAAAAAGTGTCTTGTTTGATTTGCTTTTATAGGAACAAATTCAAAACTTCAGAAATTATGTTTTTTCTATAGCAATTTTGTTTTATAAAATGTTACACCCCCCCCCCCCAGGTTGCATTCAATTTACTTCGATTTCAGTGATTTCCATTCTTTGTCCATTGAAAATAAAAAAAATAGTTTGCAACTTCATTGCAATGCAATACTTAATGTTTCAATTCTAAACAGATAAACTAAAAGTGGGGGATCAGTTTATTAGAGAAAAACTATAGAAAACTTATCCCTCTATTTCTGTCATTATTATACATATTAATCATATAAAGTAAAAATATAACAGAATGTGTCTCATCATGATTACAAATAAAATTCATCTATGCAGATGCTTAAATTAATAAGAAAAAAATGACAGGGTCTTTGGAGATAAATCTGTCATCCTATAAATAATGTTATGATTTTCAAATCTGACATCTGCAAGGGAGAACAAACAATTCTCTAATGATAAAACGCTTTCTTTCAAAAATTCTTTTGTTATGTGTGCTTAACCTAAATTTTTGTTGCAGATGAGTGGGGAATGCCAGGTAGCCCTGCTGACTTCACTATAAAAGTTACTGAATTTAATTAAAAATGACTTCAATTTATCTTTCTGTTCAGAGGATTTGTAATTATTTTAAAAGTTAAGGTTTTGCATAAAGGTTATTCAGATTAAATTTTGATTGTTAAATTTGTTTTGACCAGCAAAAAGATCTCATTTTTCGTTTTTGCTAAGAAAACTAAATGAAGTTGAAGTGAAATTCAAATAATTCCACTTATGGCACAATTTGTGGTTGGCATTTATATCCAACATCATATGGTTAATGTCTATCTCGACAAATATGATGCTAGACATGGCATCACCCTTTCATGTTTAAATATATATATATATTTACAGCATTTAGTATGGCGCAAGACCACATGCCTGGGGCACATTTAGCAAACATTGGACAATGTTTGACAAGACGAGATTGCTTTCCAACTTTTGCTTGTTTTTAGCTTCTATACAATGTAAATCTCAAGTTTTTTTTTTTTTTAACCGGGTTAATAAATTGAAAGGAAAGACAAACAAAAATATTTCTGGGAATTCATTCTCTTAACTTTCCACAAGGAAAATATCCATCATGTGACCAACAGTTATTTAAGGGTGGGGGGAGAAAGGAAAAACATTTTGCTTCAAAAATGGATGTAGGATCGAAGCTGTCAAATAGAAAAACAAAGAATTTGGGAAAGTCTTCTTATCCTTTTTCCCCAAATAAAAATCTTTTCTTTGGGATTGGTTTATACACACACACACACACACACAAAGTCCCATTTTGCCTGACTGAAGAAGAAAGATTAGAAAAAAGGTAAAATAGACTTAATAGGGATAGGAATTGATTTTTATCACTTCATCAATCACCAAAAGGCAGACATGTTGGATTGTGCATAGAAACAATGAATTTAAAAAAGAGACATGATTTTGTTTTGTGCAAAATGTTGCCGTCTTTTGTAACATGAAAAACTAAACATGTTAACGAAGCAACAAACCTCAATAGAAAGACAAGTCACATTTTAAAGATGAAATTCGTCATCACACTGGTTAAGGAAACAGGTTTTCAGAATTTCACAATGGCTTGCAAGTGGAAAAGTATCTTCTGCCTTGAAGGGATCTTTTAACTCAATCACTTTTATTGTGACTTTTCCTTTAAGAAAATTAATATTGATAAAAAAGCCACTTTCCAATTTAGATTAGCATTTGGAGTAATGAAAATTCTTTCAGGTTTGAGTCGACTTGTTTTCAACTGCAGCTGTGTAAAAGGTTTTAGTTTGTTTAAATTTTCCTGTAAATTATTTTGATTGATTGGAGAGAGAAATTAGTATTTGAGCAAACTTAATCAGAATAAAAAAAAGTGGGGCTACTTATTGCAAAAATGACGTAAAAGAAATAGAAATTTTCTTGATAGCAGACCTGGGAACAGTTTCAATTATTCTAATCATTTAACATTTCATTTGTACAAGGAAATGAAAGTTGTCCATATTTATGAAACATAGCAATAAATTCTGTTGATAAACAAGAGAAATGGGAAAAAAGTTTGTGCTACATTTTAAAAAAAGATTTTCTCAAAAAGAAAGAATTGCTTCCCCCCCCCCCACTTATCGGGGGTGGGGGGATTGTGCCAGCCAAACTGGAATGCATAACAAGAGAATCAATTCAGACATGCTGTCGATTAAAGATATATTTCAAGAAAAGTCTTCTAAACTCGACAGTTTAAGCCTGACTTTTGCCTTCACTTTGGTAAGTTTCTAATAATTTCAAAAAAATTTTTCAGGCAAAAATCTCAAGAAAAAAGGGTTTCTGTCATATTTCAATTCTTTCATATTTTTTTTTTTACAAATGAAACTGATTTCAAGTCAATGAAAGACAAGTATTACTTAATATTTATAAGAGGAAGAAATTTTCTCATTGTTTACAGATGTTTCACACACCTCCCCTCCCCCCCCTACTGATTTGATTTTTGTTTGAGTTTTTCCAATGGAAGATTCCCATAAATATTCAATGGCAGTTAGCAAGATTAAAAGTTTTTCATTCTGAAAAAAAAAAAAAAGACAAAAATGCAGAGGCAATTGTCAGATAAACATCAAAAAATCCATTTACAAATGATTATTTTAAAAATTACTTTTATAAGTTCTACTGTTTATTGTCAAGAGAAAAAGATGTTAACAATTTCTCTTTGAATAAAAAACTGAGTTGCACCTGTTAACCTCCACCTAATGACAATTAGAAACACGTCAATCAAAACATTCAAATTCATTTCAGGATTAATCAGAAAATTTCTGGTTCTTGTTCTTGAAACATATTCACAGCCTAATGAAGGATCGAAGAACTTTTGGCTTCACTTTTTCTTTAAAGATACAAAAAAAAAAATCTAACCTCGGACAAGAAGACAACTGCCAAGACTCATTATTTGAAAAAGTTTGACAGAATATTTAAACTTTCTAGTTTTCTTACCTTGTTCCCAATTCCAACTTTAACATTTGAGAGCATCAGAAAATACGGCCAGATAAATAAATGGAACTGTACGATTCTTTACATCAAAGATAGAACGATATTTCCTTTTTTTCCATTCTCAGCAGGACGTCAAATAAATGACAAAATGAAAACCTAAGAGTAATACAAGCAACCAATTGAGTCACAAAAAAATCTGTAGACACGACCAAAACATGTTGGCATTTGAGGATGGAAATTCTCTACTTTGGATCTGCCATCTTTTCAAAAACTTTTACCTCAGTAGGAAATATTCAAAAAGATTTCACAACCCTTGGTCAAAAATCAGTCATGAAATCTGAAAGTGGGAGGGAAAAAAAACACAAAGATGAAACCCCTTGACATTTTCAAAAATGTAAAGTAAATTGTTTAATTTGAAATAATTGAATGAAACTGATATCAAAATCGTGTTTCAATATATCAAAGTGTTATTTAAGTCATTGACATCAACAGTAGAAATTTCTTTCAATCTCCTAAGGAAAATTGTGGCAGATCAGCCAATGAACAACCAAAAAAAAAAAAAAGCCCAGCTCCCAAATCCTGCCATCAGAAATGAATTGCTCGTTTCAGACCAGATTAGAAAACATTTGTAATTTTGCAAATTCTTTAAGACTTCCTCGGAAGGAAATATTTTCATACAAAGATCCAGACAATTCATGGAAGAAATAGGCAAGAAAAAAAATGTTTAATTTAAGAACCTAAAATTAGGAGGAAAGAAAAATCTACAATTTTGCTTCAATAATCTTTTGTATTAAAGACAAGCATTAACAGTTGAAATATGAAATGAAAAAAAAACAATAAATGGAGAAACAAGGAACTGACTTGCAGATATTGGAAGTCATCTTTTCATTTATTTCTGATTGATTTGAAAGAAAATTTGCTGAAATTTATGTGAAAAGAGAGAAACCGTTAAAAAGGAGCAGAAATACAGAACGAATTCTAAAGACAAAAAATAAACAAAATCATCAACAAATCTGCAATAAAATTTAATAATAAAGATCAAGTAAATTGGGTCTAATGTCATGAAAAAGTCTGAAAGGTTTTCAACTGTCAAAATGCAAAGAAACTCAAACAAAATAATCAAGCCTTTAAATTGAAACGGAGGAAGAAAAACCGACATTATAAATTTCCATAAGTTTTTTGAATGTCACAAAGATAGCAAATTTTGTTTTAGAATCCATTTCTTTTTTTCATCCCCAAATCAAAAAAAAGAATCTTCCAAGTAAATATCACAAAAGCAATAATCAATTGGAAATGGAGAAATTTCCAGTGGCTGTTCAAGATCTTTCATTCAAAGATGCAGTTTAGAAAAGACAAAACAGGAGAAGACATATTACAAACAAGAGAAATTCCTAAAATATTTAAGATTTTTTGTCAAAATAATTGACTTATTTATTTATGTGCGCCATCATTTTGCTTCGTAATTGAAAGGATAGAAATATTTTTTCTGAAATATTTTGAGCACTTGCAGCAGGACTAATTTTTCTTTCCCCTTTGGAGAGGAAAGAGATAAAAATCTAACAATCCAAACTGTTTTGGGAATTTAACACAAGAACAAATATTGAACCGATTTCAACAGCTATTCCTGTAAACATGAAAAATTCTATGAAATATTTCTATAAAACGAATATAAATGCATACTTTGGTTCATTTTCTTTTTTTTTATGACCAATTTATGCATTTGTATCCATTTTTATAGTCTTCTTAACAGCATAGAAGCAACTAGAGTTATTACAAAGGTGTCATTTTTGCTCCAATAAAAATTAAAATGTCAAAACATTTTATCAATCTCATTGAATAATTAGATGCAGACAAAGTGAATGGCCATTTTCTGCAACCAATGGCAGACAAATATTAAAAATCATTCTTTAAAAAAAAAGTTTGTGGAAGAATATTGCAAACAAAGTAGACCTTTTAGTTGCTGACCAACTTACACTTGTTGAGCTAAACAAGCAAGATTGGCTGCTGTTCTGTTAAAGAAACCCCAAATTATTCATACAATGGCCGTTGAAAGAGAATATATCAAATGATTGTCAGTTTTCTGTCCACCAATTCAATCAACAACAAGCAGACAGTTGAAAAAGTAATACACACCCACATTTTTGCCCCCACCCAAGTTAAATCACAAATGACTTTTCAGTTGAAAAAAAAAAAAAATGTTAATTATAAAAATCAAAAGTGAATTACAAAAAACTGCATATAGAGTGTGGAAAAAAAAAATTAAATTTTATGAATTGTTAAAAAGTTTTTAAAATGTCCAACTTATTTTTTTAAAAAGTATGAAGTCATTTTGATTTCTACAAATTGATCGCTTCCTCCAGAAAGTTGGTCAATAAAGGGACTTTGAGATATTAAAAAAAAAATTTTTTTAAAAATCAACCGGTTTTAACATAAATATAAAAGTTAAAAAAAATAATTTTACATAACGTCATTTAAGAATAGTTTCAATAGTTGTGCAATATTTACTTCCGTTGATTTGTCCCTGATTCGGTGCTTGTGAATTTTTTTTTGTTTGAGTCAGGGAGAGGTTGTTTTTTCACTTTCATATGTGTGGAGGTATTTTTTTGTTTTTTTTTTCCTGTGTATGTGTGTGCGCGCGCGCGAGAGAGAATGTTTTTTTTTCAAGAGAGAAAGAGAGAGAAAGTGTCCCCCATCAAAAAAAATAGTTGTCCTTAATCCTTTTTCAGATCATTGTGTGCGTGCTTAAAGACAGCATCAGCAAATTGTACAAAAAGGCGATCCATGTAATTAGCATTGCGTGGAAAGATTCCCTCCAGAAAACCTATGTGGCCTCCATGGGAAGTGATAACAAAGGCAACATTTTTATTCTTTTTCGCTTGGCTAACAGGAATGGCTGAAAAAGACAAAAGACAAAACTAAATAAAAATTTTAACCATAAGAGAACAAAGATATTCTCATCCTCAAATATTAGAAAAATGTAAAGAGCATTAAAATGTAACGGTTTTGATTTTTAGAAGAAGAAGAAATCTAAAACTAACTGCTTTCAAAATGAAACCAAAAATATTTTCCACATAAAAATCTTTTCATTATATAAATTGCAATTTTGCATAAGTTTAATTAATAAAGGAGCAACATTTTTAAATTCAATGAAATCTTTACACAACAAAATCTGAGGGTATCAATCAAAATATACACACAATCATGAAATAATTTTAGCAAAACGTCTCCAAATTATTTATGCAGAGTTATTCATATGATACAATTTCATTTTTTTTAATCATTTCACCCCAAGCAAGATAATAAAGCCACTAAGATGCAAGGGGTTACTAAGTGGGAAGAACAACAGAGTGAAGGAAAAACAGGATTCAAAAATACATAAATAAGAGGACAATTGATGTCTCATTTCAATTTCTGAAGATCATAATTGACAGGAAAGCAAGAAGCCAGAAGAGAGTTCTACAGGTGAGAGAAGAAATTATTGGAATAGAACTTAGGGTTACATTGGCAATTTTCAAAGTCAAATTGTTTTAGAGCTGCATACTTCCTGCTCTTCCCTACTGGTTTAACAATGGACTGCTCCTATTTATAAATATGGAAAGCAGCCACCTTAAAGGAGGATTTGAGTAGGATTTGGTTTACTCAAGTCTTTCTGTTCTATAAATGAATCTTTAATAAACCTCTTCTTCTTCATTTCCTTTACTTAGTCTCCTGTTCCTTCGATAATCTCTCTAATTATGACCTTCCTAATTCTCAGCTATTTTGAACAAAGACAACATTACAACAAAGATGATGAGACCTATCTGCCAATCTAGTACTATACTTGAATACGTGATATCAAGATACCAAAGAGGAAAGATCATTAGAACAATTACTATGAAAATATTTATAGAAAAGACACATGGAAGCTAATGTTATGGTGGTGGGGAAATGATTGAAGCAAAGATGCCAGGTCAGGACTGATAACATTGCAGCAGCTTCTTGGGATTTTGTCAAGAATTTCTAGATACATAACAGAAGCACCAGAGCAGATTGGGTGGAAGACAGATTCAGGTGAGAAGCAACTAGTGATTAAATGATCATTGCAATTCATATCAGAGTAGGAAACACATTAGACTGAGATAAGAGGCACACAATAAGTTTTACTCTCCTAAAGGTTAAAATGGAAGGCAAAAAAGCTCTTCTCTCTAAGGATGTGATTAAAAAAGAGAGAGACACTTACATTTTGGTAGCATTAAAATTAACATATCATTTCTAGCCTCAGTTAACAACAGATTGGAGGTCATTTTCAAAATCAGCTGCCTATTTGACCTCTTGGACTTACCATTAAAACAGGAGAAAGGAGATAATAATTGTGTTATCAGTGGAGATATCAGGTTGAGAAGCGATGACCTCAGGAAGGTCATTGATAAAAATTAGGGACAAAGTAGATATAGACGTGTGGGGGGGGGGGTAAACCAGCATCTATATAGAAGATTGCTCATTCTTTATTTTGCAATGTCATTAGGGAGATTGAATCAAATCAAAAATTCAACCAGAAATACCATCAACCTTTCAACTTATGAAGATGACCAGTGTGCCAAACCTTGTCAAACGCTTTCAAAATTTCTATGCTTCAAGCTTCAGCAGCCTAGACTGACTCTTTCAACAATAACATTGGCAGTTAACTTAGAGAAGCAAAAACCATGTTCTTTATCTGAATGAATCCCATGCAAGGTGAAAAGCTTAACCAATTCAGAATTGATTAAAGCAGAATTGATTTGATTTGTAAAAAAGAGGGAGAAGGTTAACAGGTCAATAGTTCAAAGGATCAAATGGTTTCTTGTTAGAGTTCTTAAAAACAGGAACATTAAAAGAGGATTTCTAACAAGCTGGAAAGCAAGCAACAGCAGCAAGCTATTTATTGTAGAGCTTACAGTGAATAGGAGCCAATTCAAGAGCATATTTCTTTAGGACAATTGAAGGGATGCTGTCAAGTCTATATGCTTTGTGCTGATCAAATTTAGAGATGACAGCAGAAACCATGAATGGAGTAATGTGCACAGTAGAGACTCCAAGTTCTTAATGGAAAGTCAGGCAAAGATACTCCAGATGACTCAAGAGTAGAATTGGAAGAGAATTTACAAGCAAAACATTCAGGCAATAAGGAGTGATTTTACCAAAATACCTCCTAGAAATACCTGCAAAATTATCCATAGGGTACAATTTCATATTTTTTTTAATCATTTAACTCCCAAACAAGGTGATAAAGCTACTAAGATGCAAGGGGTTATAGTAGAAGATAATCTTCTAAGTACAATCATTGCTCTTCACAATTTCTTGTCATTTGTAGCTCTTAGTAAGGTTTGTTTTTTTTTTGTTTTTTTTTTGCTTTCCCTGCAATTTCAGTTCTGCCAACCATTTACATAAGCTTATTAGGTGGGCTATGTGCTGCTTTCCTCTGTTCTTCTTCCTTTCAATTTTTTTGCTTTCCCTGCAATTTCAGTTCTGCCAACCATTTACATAAGCTTATTAGGTGGGCTATGTGCTGCTTTCCTCTGTTCTTCTTCCTTTCAATTTTTTTGCTTTCCCTGCAATTTCAGTTCTGCCAACCATTTACATAAGCTTATTAGGTGGGCTATGTGCTCTTACCTTTTTTTTTTTCCTCTGTTCTTCTTCCTTTCAATTTTTTGCTTTCCTGCAATTTCAGTTCTGCCAACCATTTACATAAGCTTATTAGGTGGGCTATGTGCTGCTTTCCTCTGTTCTTCTTCCTTTCAATTTTTTTGCTTTCCCTGCAATTTCAGTTCTGCCAACCATTTACATAAGCTTATTAGGTGGGCTATGTGCTGCTTTCCTCTGTTCTTCTTCCTTTCAATTTTTTTTTGCTTTCCTGCAATTTCAGTTCTGCCAACCATTTACATAAGCTTATTAGGTGGGCTATGTGCTGCTTTCCTCTGTTCTTCTTCCTTTCAATTTTTTTTTTGCTTTCCCTGCAATTTCAGTTCTGCCAACCATTTACATAAGCTTATTAGGTGGGCTATGTGCTGCTTTCCTCTGTTCTTCTTCCTTTCAATTTTTTGCTTTCCTGCAATTTCAGTTCTGCCAACCATTTACATAAGCTTATTAGGTGGGCTATGTGCTGCTTTCCTCTGTTCTTCTTCCTTTCAATTTTTTTTGCTTTCCCTGCAATTTCAGTTCTGCCAACCATTTACATAAGCTTATTAGGTGGGCTATGTGCTGCTTTCCTCTGTTCTTCTTCCTTTCATTTTTTTTTTGCTTTCCTGCAATTTCAGTTCTGCCAACCATTTACATAAGCTTATTAGGTGGGCTATGTGCTGCTTTCCTCTGTTCTTCTTCCTTTCAATTTTTTTGCTTTCCCTGCAATTTCAGTTCTGCCAACCATTTACATAAGCTTATTAGGTGGGCTATGTGCTGCTTTCCTCTGTTCTTCTTCCTTTCAATTTTTTTTGCTTTCCTGCAATTTCAGTTCTGCCAACCATTTACATAAGCTTATTAGGTGGGCTATGTGCTGCTTTCCTCTGTTCTTCTTCCTTTCAATTTTTTTGCTTTCCTGCAATTTCAGTTCTGCCAACCATTTACATAAGCTTATTAGGTGGGCTATGTGCTGCTTTCCTCTGTTCTTCTTCCTTTCAATTTTTTTGCTTTCCTGCAATTTCAGTTCTGCCAACCATTTACATAAGCTTATTAGGTGGGCTATGTGCTGCTTTCCTCTGTTCTTCTTCCTTTCAATTTTTTGCTTTCCTGCAATTTCAGTTCTGCCAACCATTTACATAAGCTTATTAGGTGGGCTATGTGCTGCTTTCCTCTGTTCTTCTTCCTTTCAATTTTTTTGCTTTCCCTGCAATTTCAGTTCTGCCAACCATTTACATAAGCTTATTAGGTGGGCTATGTGCTGCTTTCCTCTGTTCTTTCTTCCTTTCAATTTTTTGCTTTTCCCTGCAATTTCAGTTCTGCCAACCATTTACATAAGCTTATTAGGTGGGCTATGTGCTGCTTTCCTCTTCTTCTTCTTCCTTTCAATTTTTTTGCTTTCCTGCAATTTCAGTTCTGCCAACCATTTACATAAGCTTATTAGGTTATGTGCTGCTTTCCTCTGTTCTTCTTCCTTTCAATTTTTTTGCTTTCCCTGCAATTTCAGTTCTGCCAACCATTTACATAAGCTTATTAGGTGGGCTATGTGCTGCTTTCCTCTGTTCTTCTTCCTTTCAATTTTTTTGCTTTCCCTGCAATTTCAGTTCTGCCAACCATTTACATAAGCTTATTAGGTGGGCTATGTGCTGCTTTCCTCTGTTCTTCTTCCTTTCAATTTTTTTGCTTTCCCTGCAATTTCAGTTCTGCCAACCATTTACATAAGCTTATTAGGTGGGCTATGTGCTGCTTTCCTCTGTTCTTCTTCCTTTCAATTTTTTTTTGCTTTCCTGCAATTTCAGTTCTGCCAACCATTTACATAAGCTTATTAGGTGGGCTATGTGCTGCTTTTCCTCTGTTCTTCTTCCTTTCAATTTTTTTGCTTTTCCTGCAATTTCAGTTCTGCCAACCATTTACATAAGCTTATTAGGTGGGCTATGTGCTGCTTTCCTCTGTTCTTCTTCCTTTCAATTTTTTTTTTGCTTTCCCTGCAATTTCAGTTCTGCCAACCATTTACATAAGCTTATTAGGTGGGCTATGTGCTGCTTTCCTCTGTTCTTCTTCCTTTCAATTTTTTTTGCTTTCCTGCAATTTCAGTTCTGCCAACCATTTACATAAGCTTATTAGGTGGGCTATGTGCTGCTTTCCTCTGTTCTTCTTCCTTTCAATTTTTTTGCTTTCCCTGCAATTTCAGTTCTGCCAACCATTTACATAAGTTTTATTAGGTGGGCTATGTGCTGCTTTCCTCTGTTCTTCTTCCTTTCA